AACTATAACAAGCACAAAATGGTTACGAGGTCCCGAGCCCTGGTTGAAAGAGTTAAGAAAAAAGAATATTGAACTGACAGGTTGGATATGTGCATGTCATTTTCAAACCTGTAGGTCAGACTTGTACATAAAGATATGGAACATATTTTTCATAGTTTTAGGCCTATACTTACTAGTTTATGATATAGAATATAAAAGGCAAGTTTATTAGATGAAAATACCAAGCTTACCAGTTAGTTTTGTGCTTAACAACCTCAAATAGATCTGTCAATAACATTAGATAACTATTGACACATTGCATTTTGTTCTTTAGATAATGGAAAACTAAACAGTTAGTCCTGTGGATAAAGATACCAAATTTACAGGCTAGATCTATACACAAAAATACCGTACTTACACAATACATTTACATTAACAGTTTCACATTCATAGCTTAGTCTTGTGCATAATATTTTCAACTTTTAGAACTACAGCAAGCAGGTGAAACTTAATCATGTGGATAAAAGTATTGTAGTTGTGAATTACACTGTACATATGTTTTTCAAACTTACTCTTAGATCTGTAAATAACAATGCATGATGACATAAAGATCTGGTTTGTAGATAACAAAGTAAGGCTTAAAGGTTTTACAAGCAGGTAACAATAAGACTAAAAAATCCAATCTGTAGATAATAATGTAAAGGTTCAAGATTTAACTTGTAGAAAACAACATAATGTACGCATCTGATCTGTAGATAATAATAAGACTTAAAAATTCAATCTGTCCATAAAAATAATAATAATATTGCAAGGGTTCATTGTTTAAATTATAGGTAATGATATGTACACATCTGATCTGTAGATAACAACATGAGTCTTAAAGATTCAACCTGTAGATAACAAAGACTTACCATTCTATTATGTAGATAATAATGGGAGGGTTCAAGAATCAACCTGTATATATAAAGCTTTTAAAACTGATATGTAGATAATGATTAGAGATTTCAAGATATGATCTATACATAACAATAAGATATAAAAATACAATTTGTACATAATGATGGAAGATTTAAAAATTCAACTTGTAGATAATAATTGGAAGGTTCAAGATTTGAGTGGTAGATACCTACAAGACAAACAATTTTGATCTGTAAATAGTAATACACGACTAAGTTTCTACCTGTCGATAACAGTAAGACTACAAATCCGATCTCTAGATAATAATGATAGGCTTAAAGGTTTAGCCTGTAGATAATGTACATTAAAATGTGAAAATGCTACATGTAGATAGCAATGTGAAGCTTTAAGATTTGACTTGTAAATAATAATAAGACTGAAAATTTGATAAGTGGATAATAATATAAACTTAAAGTTTTGATCTGTAGATAATAATAGGAATTGAAATTTTGATTCGCAGATAGCAGTACAAACTTGTAGGTTACATAAACTGCACATATCATTGTCTAACTTACTCACTAGACCTGTAGATAACAATAAGACCTAATGAGAAATAATTGATGGCAAAATATCAAAATAACTACTTAACTTCTGTTAACTGAACATAACTATTTTTAAAGTATCCACACCTTCTGTGAAGGAGATTATATAGAGCAAATATTTTCTCAAATAATTGTTACAAATATTTACAGTTATTATATGTTGAAAGCATGTGTAATGCTTTTGTTGGGTATACAGATAATTTTAAAATTACCATGTATATTAAACGACCTCTTTATTCTAGTGATTCATTACAAAGTCATTGTAAAGTTTCATCATTTTTACTATTTATGACAATATGTTTTTAATTTCTATTAATTTAAAATAATCAAAAGACTGTTCTTCACATCATATAAAATTCGATATAACCTCAAATGCAGAAGTCACCTTCCATACATCATCAAATTTTAGCATATATCACGTAATAACTATCAAAAATTACAGTACTCTGTTTGGAATGTTCCACATGTTATTCAGTTTCATTAAGTGGACTTATGTATTTATATAATTGGTATATAACCTGCTACAATCTTAGATATCTTTTAGAAAACATAGATACACATGTAAAATCTGTGAAGAGTGTTACAATGTTATCCAGACAGTTAAAGTGACTAATGCCCCAGCATAGAATGTAGTTTTGTATTTTAAAAAATGTTAGATTTAAATATAAATATTGCTGTGATAACTTATCGGAAAGTGTTATTGATTGAATTAAAAATGTGACTTTACAGTGTGTGAAATTAACCCCAGAATGTTTTAACTTGCACATGCATTAATGAAACAGTACTTTGGAGATAATCAACAGCTCTTAACATGAATATTAACTATGTTTTGTGACATCTTTAAACAGGACACTGTCATGTTGTGCTAATACGCACTTGGCAACATTTTATAAAAGGAAGCTGCGTGTAGTAGTATATGTTGGAGAAATGAGTCAAACCTCTACAAATTTGTGTTATACACTATTTATAAAAAGCTATTAAAGTTGATAATACCTGGGCACCATTGTCATATGCCAAGTGTAAGTCTTAATTTAGAAGTATAACTTAATGATTTTCTATCCTGAAATTAGTTGTGTATTTGATTCTAGTTGAAATTTTTATTGCAAATAATGAGTAATTTATATGATCAGCAGGGAGTTGAAATAAGTTTTTGTAAAGTGATTATCTTTTTTATTTTTTTGTGTTGCAGCAAAGTAAATTTTTCTCTGTTCATTGTATTTAAACTTTACATAATGTAAGTGTGGTAATTTAAATGTTTCTGAGTTTCTGGTATGCAGGATTCCAATCCAAGATTTTTCTCATATCTGTCGTGTTTTTTATCTATTGAGCTAAAGGATTAACTCACTAATATCTTCTTTTCAAACAACTCAATCTTCCCCTTCTCACAAACAAGGTTTATTCTCAGGGTTTCGGAATAACCATTAACTGGGTACCAGTTATACTGTAGTCATAAATTATTATTTTTTTAACATTTATTTGAATTTCCTCAGTTTGGATTGGAAACCACTAGCATTTGCTAGTACAGCATTTAAAAATGAAGAAACTCAGATTACCACATTAAATGTAAGTGTAGAAATTTGAATAAAAACTAGCATCCTTAGTTCAAAGACAAAGGGTTAATTCATAAATAATCTAGTTTTGTTTTGAGTTTAATGTGTTGCATAGTGTTAACAATTACTCAAAAATGTCTTATGACTGTGATCCTTATTCAACTAGTTATTTTGATGTTAAGTGGAAGTTTTATATAGAATAAAAGAAAAAGAAAATCAGTAAAACTTGGTTGTATTTTTGTTACATTTATGCCTTGACATACAGCTTTTGTAAAGTGGGATAAAGCATCTCTTAATTTCCAGCCATAAATCTGTCAAATACTGATATAATAATTTGTGATTACTGTACTTGTACAGTCTCAAGGATAACAAATGATTAGATCTTGTCTTATGTTTTTTCAAATTAAAACGTGCATTTTGTTTAAGAAAAAGCATGTTTTACAGTTGTATCTGTGGAAGTATTCTTACCAAGGTAGTTAACATCACAAATGTTACATAATTAATATGCAATATATAAAAGCTGTCTTTTTGGTTAAAAGTAAATTTTGTCTAATGGAAACAAAAATTATATTTTTTGTA